GATATTTGACTACATTTTTTATTGCTTCTATAATGTATACAGGGCATAAATGGTCTAATCCTCATAATACACTCTGTGTATTACTATTATTAAAATTTATAATATCTCATACCTATTTATGATGTTTAAACTTCATAGGGTATTTCAAGAAATTGGGTGCAGATTTGGTATTGGATATAAAACTTGCTGAAGACTTTGCATTATTAGAATCTCAAAACGAATTTATAGAAAGATATAAATCAGCTAAGGAGTCAAAAGTTCAGAAAATATTACCCATGTTAGCATCCTCATGTCCAGGTAATGCTATTAAACCTAATAATATGACGAAACTTAGTCCCATGAGTGAAAATGCTGCATAATAACAAAAACTGATCAACTTAGCACAATCCACTACAACATCACATATTGTGCTCCCACTAAATTCCCAATTATGCAATTAATACAAAATGAATTCTACATACATCTCTGACATAATCTCTCATGGAACTGAGTAAAGCATCTGGTTTCAGTATTAATTATTTTGTGTTTAGGTTGGGTGTGTTATGCAGAGAAAACTCATGGGAATTTCATACTACCATACATTAGTCGTGTGAAATCCCCACAGCAAATAATGGGTTCATTTATAAAAGATTTCGTTTCAAATTCAAGAAATAAACCTAGAACTGATATATATCATTTAACTGTTATGCCTTGTTTTGACAAAAAATTGGAAGCATCGAGGGATCAATTTTTTGATGTAGACACTCAAACTAAAGATGTTGATTGTGTAATTACTTCCAGTATGTATGAAGTTTGAAGATAGTTGCAAACATAGTATAATACATGTCAGTTTACATTTTAGTTGAAGTGGAAGCATTATTGGTCAAACAAAACATTATTTTCAATGATATAGTTCCTGAAAATTTTGATACAGGGATGAATAACTTAACAGAAGATAATCATAATTTGTTTACAAGTAGTGGTTCTGGATCTGGAGGATATGCCCATCATATATTTTGATATGCAGCAAAAGAGTTATTTAATATTAATATTGACAAAGTAGAATTTAAGCCTTTACGGTGTGTACTAAACTTAAATTTCTCTAATGAAATTAAGTTATTCATAAAACTGTATGTTATAGGAATGTTGATATGAAAGAAGCTACATTAGAAATTAATGGAGTTGTTGTACTACGTTTTGCCATAGCCAATGGATTTAGAAACATACAAAATCTTGTGCAAAAATTAAAAAGTAAAAGATGTCCATACGATTATGTTGAAGTGATGGCATGTCCTTCAGGTTAGATACATTTTTTTAAAATTATTTATTTAATAAAATATGTAAATGTATACATAAGGATTTTATTAGAATTTAAAAATATAAGATGAATATTTTACATTTTATTTGATGTTTTACTAAAACAAAATTCTAAATAAAATTCTTATACAAGTTTTGATTAATATTTACAATATTTAACTACTTAATTGAATTTGAATAGGTTGTTTAAATGGAGGAGCTCAAGTGAAACAAATTGAATTCAAGCCAAATAGAGAATTTATAAATGAATTAGAGAATACTTATAATGAGTTACCTAAAAGCAATCCATCCCAAAATAAAAGTGTAAAATATTTATATTCTAACTGGTTAAATGAAAACAACAAAAATGATTATTTATTTACAACATATCGAGAAATTAAAAAGAATGATCAACCTTTAAATATTAAATGGTAGATAAATTATAGAATGTAATATAATTTATTATAAAGTAATTTTTAGGTATTATTATTATTATTATTATTATTATTATTTTATATTATGTTTCTCCACATTTGTGGCAAGCCAATGTATTTTTATTTTTTATGTGTTGTTTATTAAATATTAAATAAATATTGTCACACATTATATTGAGCTGTAATTACATCAATTTTCAACCAAGTATTCAAAACAAAAAGTATAATTGGAGCCTATCTTACCATCTCATGTTAAAGTTCAAGGAATTCTGCAGGTAATGAAATCTATTATCAGCCGATTAGCGGTGACTGACACTTAACCGGACATTGTAAAAACAGCCCTTAATAGTTTATTTAAAGGTTTTGTTTCTACGCCTGACCATGGTCAATAAGATAAGACACGCACAGCCAGCATCAATAACTTACATACACAAATTAACAGAATACAATTATATTATATTGTTTTAGAATGTAGTCTTCGCTCATAATATTATACTAGTATATCTAAGCATATAACATTAAGCATCTAACCCGGAAGCCGGCCCAAAGCTACTTAAAGATCTAGGGTATACTCCTGCCCCCCTCCCCCCCACAAATAACGTCCTTAGTTGCACTATTCTCCAACTAGACATCGCTTAAATATAAGATATTTCGGTTTAGAATATCTTACTTATGTGGAAACTTGTTTTAAATTGTCAACTTTTAGCTATAAAAGTTTAAAATTTAAAAAATGTTTAACTATACAATTATTTGAACTTTGTGTGTGATATAAATGTTGTCAAAATTTGAACTTCAAATCCTTTTAAAAAATAAATCGTACCTATGTATTTTTAATATTTTTCAACTCCTATTGGAACAATATATCAAGGGCCTTGTATTAAATATTCATGCTTTTCGATCCAACCAATAACATTTTATTGTCATTTATAGAAGAAAAATTAAAATTGAAAATGTCCGTCAACAGCTTAAAACGAGTCAAAATTGTTTGGTGTATACAAAATGGCAACAAAGACATTCAGTGAAAACTGCTTATACCTGCAATCATTTTTACACTAAAAACCAAAATCGATTTTTTCAAAGACTAGTTTTGCGTAAGATATAATTCTATCTGAATAAAATACCTTCCGAGTTAGGTATTTTTAATTTCATTAAAATTAATCTTTTATAGATTGTTTTGTAGAAATTACGGAAGTAAGTCGTTTATTTCTTCATTTCTTAAAATTAGAGAGAGTTAATTGACAGGTACCTGCCCTACCTAATTAACTGTTTAGAATTTATTGGAAATTCACTACGGTGATTAAGATAAAGGACTCGCTGACATATTTAAGATTTTCTTTTTCTCTTTACATCGGAAAATGACCTGAACTCGATTCCCTATAATAGCTAAAATCGTGAACCTTCTTGAGCAACTATAGTAGGTTACACTGAACACTTAAGCCAGTAGCTTATTATTGATAATACATTGTAATTTGTATAGAGTTAAAAGGTTTACTGGACGGACTAAGATATACGTATATAAATTATAGGCTGTATATCTTGGTCCGTGGTCTAACATAATATTGTGTGTCATAAGTGATGTTTACTGATATCCCATTCACATAATTCCAAAGCACTTAAGCACTCCCCACGATCAAAGATTAAAAGATAGCATCTATAGCCATGGCTCTCCCAAAAAGAATTGTTGGATGACGAGTATTATTATAAATTTGGAGGTTGTAATATTGGAACGTTATAATTATTAATTTGTCGTTACTTGTTTTAAATTATATTTTATTCTACTCTTCTATTTTTGGAGTCCTGCATCTGTCACTATTATTAACCTACTCAGTAAACATGTCAATGTCTATTGGATGTCTATTATATAATATCACTTATTAGATCAAAATATCCATTTTTTAATGTCTAATATACCTATGTTATTTGTACGTTCCAAAAAAGTCTGAGTGAGACAACTGTTTGAAGTCTAAATGAATATTGTAATATACATGTTTAAGATTGTCTTTTATTGTTATATAAACTACTATAGTGGTTAATACTTGATAGGTCTGTGGTTTATTACCTATATAGGCAATAGAATCTATAGTATAGATGATCATTTTCGTTCATGCGTGTATTTAACGTATTGTCATTTATTGTTAATACCTATTTGTTATATTATTGTAGAATGCAAATTGTGTGAATATTGATTAAGGGGCCGAGTGTGGCTACTAGTAGTTAAGGGCAGCTTGTATGAATATTGAAATAATGAGAGCCCCCGGCTCTGAAATTTCGTCAAGTAGGTACGACCCCGTTACCAAAAAAAAAACCGTCGTTCGGACCACGCGGGTATACAAACGATACCTATTGAGTCGGCTCTATAAGTGGATATACCTACACAATAGCGATCCGGCGAAAGTGTTCATGTGTAACACCTATGGGCTATGACCTATACCTATAATATCACATGGATACCATTGTTTTCGGTAGGAGTATTATTATAATATTATGTTGTGCGTGTGCACGTCATAAAAAAAAATTTATGTGTGCCAGCGCCGGAGAGATCATGTCATTATTATTATCATCGTAAAATGCGTAGTTCTGTACTTACGATTGCAGTGTTATCGTGTGCATTAGTGACGAGCGTGTTTAGTAGGTCCCCTGCGCGGCGCTACACGCGTCTGCCGCCAGAACCCGTTCACCTGGTAAATATAGGTAATAGGTATAATATAGTAGTGTTATAAATTAGTGTATCATGTACCTACATAATATTACGATATTGTAATATCATTATTTCTGGCCGGTTGTCCTGCAGTCTGCAGCAGATACCCACCACTGCTGTATTATAGCTGCAGCAGTGTGTATAATATACCATCGCTCGGCCTGCGTGCCGTCAGAAAGAATTAGGTACAGCCGTTCAGTCGTTGGGTATTTTTCGGTCGAGAGGGAACCCGCCGCGGTCCACATTACATTATTGTTTATTAAAACCCGCCTAAATGTGTGTATTTTTTTTTTTTTACGAGAAAACGCCGTGACTAATACTACATATATATATATATATATATAGGTAGGTACACGCTGTGCAGCGGACTCGTGGATCGATGACCTTATACCTATACATTTTGTATTGAGTAGGCACCTAACCGTTTATAATACCATTATACCAGCTATAAGGACAGTGTTGTTGCGACTCGTGTCCCGCAAGACGCGTGCCCGCCTGTTGCTCACATAATTCCCGATAAATTATTATTTTATTAAATAGTTTTATAGGTCGGACGCGGCGCAACAACGGTGTTCGGGACGTGTCGAAATAAAATGTCGGTTCTTGTGATATTCCTGTTGTCGTTAAGCGTTTTCGTCAGCGGACAAAGTCTGGGAAAATGTCCGAAAAAGGAGACCATGAAGACATTCGACCCGAAAGAGGTAGGTGGTGCAATATAGGTAGGAACCCACATACAACAGAGCAGCTGACTGCTTGACTGTGGTTATTACTTGTTATTGTAACTGTAATATTATATTTTTAAATTCCAATTTAGATGTAGGCATATAGCTAAAGACAGTTAGTAACCCCCATATTATACAGTCGAGTCTCGACTCTGGATAACTCGTAAACCTTGATGTCTCAAATTTTGTCTTGTCCCTTGAGTGTTTTTAAAGTTGTGTCTGAGTGGTATAAGTAGAATTTATTGTTTCTCCCCTTGAGATTCGAGTTATCGAGACTCCACTGCAGTATTCAGCGGCGTGATTTCAGTTTTTGATAGAGGGATCAAAAGTTTTAACCAGCCCAAAAAAGGTAACTTAACTTAACGAAAACAACAGTGCACCGGCCCAGCAGCCTGCTTTTAAAATCAGACAGGGGCAGATGCCTCCCACCGAATGACGCCACTGACTGTATTAGGTATAAACTATTATATGGCTATACCTAAAAATAGTTGAAATGGCCAGTAACGTAAGTTAACTTATTGTGATTTTCGGCCTTAAAGGGCTTGCCGGTTGCCGGTTGGTGACTGTAGGCGAAGAGTACCTACTCACGTTGCTAATTTTTTTAAAAAGTCCGTTGTAGAAATAAAATTTTCCTTTTATTTTTGTTTTAAGTTTGAAGGACAGTGGTATGAAGTGGAGAAAACTTTCTACATGATGGAGATGACTGCTAGTTGTACTTCTTTCAATTTTACTTTAAACCCCGATGGTACATCGTACAAAGTACATATTGGAACAAAAAATAGAATGCAAGTGATATACTATAATATATTAATATAAATATTACATAGATATACTAAAAAAAGTGAACCATTTAAATGTTTACATTAATGATTTAAAAAATATGTTTGTACATAACTAGATGTCATTTTAAAACAACATTTTTTTTTTTCAAAAATGTTTACTATTTTTTAATATTTTCTTCTTCTAAGTTATGCACTCTTTTTGAATGCCACTATACATTTTTTACTTCATACTCCAAAGCAGAATATTATTCGGAGTATTTTGGATCCACGAAGATCAAATTTCAGACAATAATAGGTATAGTTTGTTAGTTATAAGCACTTAAAGTGTAGATGAACAGAGTTGAGTGGTGCACCTCTGCCCTACTTAAAAGATTGTCTCCCACTCCACTAATCTTACTTTAAATTAAAATACTTAGTTGGGTATAAGTGTATAACTAATTAAGTACTTCTCCAAACTTGAATTTTTATGCGTCGAAATACCCCGAATAATATTCTGTTTCGGCATAATATGAAATAAAAAATGTATGGTGTCATTCAAAATGAAAAACTTTAAAAATTATAACAATTAAGAGTAGTAAAAAATATTATGTTTTTTTTTTTGTTCAGAAATTTTGTTTTTAAATTTCTATTAAAATGTCTAAAAATACGAGATTTTTACTTTTTAAGAATAAAAAATTTAAATTGAAGGTTCCAAAAGGTTAGCAACAAAATAAAATCTGTTTTCAAAATTATTATCGGAGTAGAATTCAAGCCGCAGTACGCTGGAATGCATATATATATGTTACGGACAATGTGGAATACCACATATATAGGTGAAGTTCCGATTTTAGTTGTATTTTTCAGTTTTTTTCAAAACAACGGTAATGTGGAACCCCCTTAATTACTTTTCATATAAAGAATTATTTTAATTTTATTTATAATGAAAATTTGAAAGTAGCTAATATAATAACGTATAATATATACATACTTATTATACATTCATACCTATCTCATATTATGATGTTTTGTATTTTTGTTTTAAATTTCTATACATTCTTTTGTCCTTGAATAAAAATGTATAGTTATATTATGTATGTGATACAATATTTCAAATAAAATAACATAATATTCTGTTTTTAGAAAGCAAAAACGATATTGGATTATCAAACACGCGTTACGATAGACTATTATATCTCACGAGATTTTCGTACACTAATTATAATAGGTTTATGTATTATAGGATCTATCTTTAAGTAGCTGTAACCAATGTGTATATTTACTATTCACATCTGCCTAAATTCATCACCATACACTTACACTGTGTACACTTATACATTTTAATATAATTAATATTTTACTGTCAGCAGAACGGGGAACCCGAATATATTTTCCGGGATGGCGACCCTTGTTTCAAAAAGCAAATCTGTACTCAACTACCAGGCCGAAAGTCGACTACCCGGGTTGTTTTCGCGTATGATACCTACCACTGGTCTGTATCACATCATGTACTCGGATTACCGCAACTATACAGTTATGTGGTCGTGTACAAGTTTCGGTCTTTTCCACACAGGTAAAGTAAATTGAATGTGCTGTCCTATACACCTATTATCGGCATAGATAGTAAAATATTATTTACTATTTATGATTATCGCTGCGTACGAGTTGATTCCCAGGTACCCGCGGGTTACCTCAATCAAGACCGGTATAAATTGGTTCAGGGGCAATTAAAAAGTGAGGAAATTTATGCACAAGCAGTATAACAATATCGGCATAACCCCATCGGGCTCATTGGCAGATACCAATTTTTATGGACATTTTTATCGCTACGTGTTACAAATTTTTACCTTCCCCTCAAAACCACTTTTGTCTATCAAAATAAATCCGACGATGACAACATTTGATAATTAAATTAAAAAAGTTTGGCCTACTTTTAAATTATCACGGATAGTATAAAGAACTAAAATATATGACGATTGATCAAATTCAATAGGTAGGAAAGCAATTATAAAACATGATGGAAGACTTGTCAGCCACCTCCCTGTGGTGCCTCCTAAGTCCTGGGTAACGTTAATATAGGCTGTATTTCGGGATTCAACTATATGTTGTGCTGCCGTGCCGGGAATAAATTCACAGAATACCTACCTAAATTCATCTGAAAATCAATAACCTTGAGTGGGAACAGATCCACATGACCTTTCAAAGTTTAAAAGCTAATAACCATAAATTATATTTTTGGTACTTATCGGTTATCGCGACTACCGTTAAAATTATAAAAAAAAACTATTATAAAAATGGAAAAACTGTAATTGTAAAAACTAGAAATAATTAATAATTCACTCTAGGAGGAAAATGCTCAGACATACAATTTAAAATTCCTATAAATGGACTTTCGTGCTTTTGACGCCACATGTCGCGCCATTTAGAGGATCCCCATAACCTTTCGATATTCTGTGTGTGAGCACCAGTTTGAGGATCCATAGAATTATAAGTGTGGTTAACGGTTAAATGCTGAAACCCAGCATTCTGTTGTACATTTGTTTTATAACCACGCCAACAACCAGAATAAATAGTTGTACCTTGGTTTATATTATTATCTTTTATTGCCTGTATCAGTGTAGACGCACACCGATCTTTGACTTCAACTAAAAAACATTCCGTCATTTCCCGACAAATGCCTCCAAAAATCCATTGTAGAGGTAAAACTCTACCAGCATTATTTTTACATCTTGTAAGAAGACTTTCGTCGATTTCTACTATTTTTCCTGGACCACCAATTTTCACGTTACGACTTTTTAGGCTTAAAACACATATTTCTCGCATAAAATTATTCCAGTCCACAGTAGTATCATAACATATGTTTAACTGTGTTTGACAGAATTTTAAAGAAGTCATTTCACTTCACAGCAATGCTAATAATAACCACCATTCAATACTTCTCGCTAGGTAGTCGCGATAACCGATAAGTACCATATTTCTAATAATCAAATGCATGTTAAAATCAGCTGCTTAAATGACCGATAGGTACTGTACACAGAGTATAAGCACGGATTAATTTAGATATTTTATTTTTAGACAGATTAATTTAACCTTTAGATTTTTATTTAATCTGTGGTATAAGTATTGGGAATCAACTTACTCACACCGTTCGTGTACACAAAGAGTCAAGAGAAGAGTTCCGACGACCACGATTAAAGAAGTGGTTTCGATGTACCTGCAGTATCCATATGACCCGGGGCGTGCCTAGGGGGGGAGGTAAGGTTAGAGGCTAGGATGTTCAACCCTCCCCTCCCCATCCCCCGAAAAATAAAAATAGTTATTAATAAATGTTGACCATAATATAATATATAGGTAGTACTTGAGGCTAGATCTCGAGATACAACCCCCCCCCCTCGAAAAAAATTTCTAGGCACGCCCCTGCATATGACCATACTATATATACTATATATACTATATACCATACTATGACCATACCTATAGAATATAAATTAATATTATATAATAATAATTAACAGTTTATTGTGATCACTGTGATCACTGTGTGCATAAAAACTCGCGATTTTAGAAAAATCTAAATCTAAATATTATAATTGTTTGCAGATATTATTTGGGTTTTGGGAAGAGAACGAGATCTTACAGCTACATCCCGGGCTGAACTTTACAATTTATTATATGAACTGAACATTAATCCTGATCGACTAATATTAACTAAACACGAAAAATGTGAAGAATTTTTTTGATTCTAATTTAAAATGAAACACAAGAGGTTTTAAATTGTAATAAATATGCTAGTCAATACAGTAAGCCAGATTTGAATATTTTGTACCTATGTTAGATATAGGTACATACTACGTTGTAATATTATGTGTATATTCGCAAATGGACACTAATTGACAAATAATATAATGTGTATTAGCTGTTTCGTCAAACTTAAGACTTGGGTTGTAAAAAAAAAAAACTTGAACCTGTTCTATAATTTGTTACATTGTGTTTGAGTAAAATTAAAAATCATAAATTAGTATGCATAACGAGTAAAAATTCACATAATTATAATAGGTACTAGTTTTACAAGAGAAAAAATGTTATTTTTTTAAACTTGACACTAATTATTTACATATATTTATACAATTAGTTTTATAGATATGACATTCTTTATTCACATTGTATTTTTCATTTTTAATATGATCCAATAATTGGAAATGAGTTATGACAAATAAACATGTGTTAAAAATGTGTATTAACAAAAATACACTGTTATATGCTTTTGTAGGTATGTATGGCATATTATGTAGAAAGTAGAAATAATGCATAAGACAATTTGATTAATAAATATGTTAAATATTTCTCAGATGACTTTTAGCAATTATAGAATAGAATTTTTTTAATATGCCTCAATGGGTAAAAGTGTATGACTATAAAAATATGATTTGTAAAAATAAAAAATATAATACCACTCATTTGTTTTTCTTACATATATTTTGAAGCCCTTAAAGCCTAAACCTGAACCTGACAATATAAGTGTGTCTAAAACATTTTTAATACAACATTTTAATCACATATAAGATATATACTTAAATAATACTATATAAGGTACTTATGTAAATTATTATGGATAAATATCCAGTTTTTTCTTATATAATATAATATAATTATTACATTTTTTACTAGGGAAATACAGAAAAAATGTAATTATTTTAAGCATTTATTATATCATGTACCTATTCATGTACAATTCACTAAAGAACATTTAAGTATAATTTGAAGAAAAATTAATCAGGTTTTTTTCTCTGTATTAATAAATATGGGTCACTTTCACTGCTTACATTTTATTACAGTGTTACAAAATAACTTTTAAGAAAAATAATGACCAGTATCTACTATATAATATAATTTTTAAATTAATATAGACCATTAAAACATAAAAGCCAGATATTATTATTTATTGTTTAAGATTGTAAATCTAAAATAAAATAGAGATTATTGAAAGACATATTGCACGCCACAATGAGTACAATTGCAACACAATAAAATAAGAAAATGTAATTTATAAAAAAATAATAATTATATATTATTTGTTTTAGTCAAAATAAAATGTGTTAAAAAAGATATACTAAAAATTGACAACAGATATGAAGTATCTAAACTAATAAAAGTCCTCTCTGTTTGTATTTGTACTTCCTTGATTTATAATTTGCACTTGACTATAATATAACTCAGCAATCTGAAAATTAATTATGCAATAATATTATAACAAATGTAGTAAAGTTCTCACGAGTTTTTTTTATAATGTAAAGTGTTATCTATGAAAAAAGTTACATCTTATGAGAAACTAGTTACATAAAATGTTATTGTATTATAATAATATTTCAAAACATTTATAGGCAACTATTGTGTTAGTTAGTTAATTTATATTTTAAATACAAGGTAAAGTAGGTCAAACTGTATAAACATAATGAAAGATGAAAATTATAATTAGGTACCTATTGCTGTTTTATTTTTATCATTTGGTTATTTGTCAGGATATAAAAATATTCTAAAAAAACATTTTTAGGTTAGGATATCTGCTTAATTAATTATTAATTGAACTGATTAATCTGATATCATAATTAAATCATAAACCATATATAATTATATGGAGCAAAGTAGAAGTTCCTGACTATGCTAAACATGCCCTACTTATGAACACGGACAGGCAAACCAGTTTGTGCTATACTGCTATAGTCCATCAAGATTCAAGAAACTAGATAGTCTGCATCAAATCACAACACCCACTCTTTACTCCATTTATAAGCTTTAAGTTAACTTAATCAAGTATACATTTTTATTGTATACCCAAGTCTCAGCATTTGAGGTTAATTGCCAATTGGTGTATTTATGAGACAAAACATAGAAACTTGGATAACCTTAGATAAGTTATTGTAACATTTGTATCATTATTCTACAATACAAGCTGAACGTTTAATAAAATGTTTTAGTTAAAGGTACCTGTTGAGCGGAAGTAGATTGTTCAATTGATTTATCTTCTCGTATCCGTAGAAACCTTGGAAACCTTAATGAAATTCCTTTTTCAGGATCTACAATACCTAATGCTGCTCTGTGTACTGGAGATAAGGACAAATCTGCACATTTTATTTCCCATACCTGGACTGTCTCAAACCAATGATCTGGCTCATGGCTTTGATCAAAGCGGTAATAACTTTTAGGCCCATCAATAATATGTTGTTGGAAAAACTCTGTATGTGTTTGTAAGTCCTCATCACTAAATCCTGTTCCAATCTAGAAAAAAATGTATTTATAATTTAAATAGGAATATTTATGTCTTACATTTATAATTTATATTAGTAAATATTTAATTACCTTACATATACTCTGATACTCTTCACTATCTGGATCATAACATGCTAATAGGAAACCACCATAAGTACCAGTACGTTTTCCACGACCTAAATAACCTCCCAAAACTACTACATCTATTGTATCACCAACACCATCCAAATAATCTTTTTTTAATTTTAACCAATTGCGTGAACGTTTGGCTATTTCATAAGTAGCTTCTTCTTCTAATGTTTTAACCATTAAGCCTTCACAATTTCCTACAAATTTAAAAATAAATAAATTAATGTTTTTAAAATAGTTGGAATGTTATTAAAATAATTAATCAGTAATAACAACAACAGAAGTTCATTATAATTTGTTTTGTGTTAAGGCCAAAGATAAGTATATAAATATTTTAGATGTTATTTAATATAATAATATTATTATTATTATTATTATTACAATTAACTATTATTCAGTTTTATGCATATAATAGAACATGTAAGAATCTTTATATTTATTTAATAAATAATTTCAACTTCAAATATAACATTTTCTATGATGAAATCATGGGTTGAAGGGGCAAGGTGGGCATTTAACTGTCAGATTTTAAAAGCAGCCCCATGGGCCGGTACAAGGTTGTTGCTGTTTAACCATATTGGTAAAAAAAAACATAAGTACTTTTAAAATATTTTGAAGAAATATTATATTCAATACTATGTAGAAACTTGAAAATTGTTGTCACTATGATAAATTGGTTATTATTACTTAGGTAATAATTAATAGTTGGAGTATACATTTATAAAGACGCCAGAATTAATACAAATCCTAAAAACAACAACTGCTTGACGCTCTAATTTATCATTGATTTCAGTTAATTTGTGGCAGTCATGTTCTATTTTGTATTTTTCTATTGAGTTAACTTAACTGTAATATAAGAAAAAAAGAAATGGTTAGTGCAGCCAAAGACAAACATCTATAAATAAATGTAAATACTAATGCAAACCATTTCAAATATGTTTAAAAAAACTGAGAAAACTTGAACCATTAAGGAAGAAATAAATAACATATCATAAAATAGCAAAATTATTGTGTAAATGATGTATTCTCTTAAATTAGTTAACTCATTCTACACCCAAAGATGGGAAATTAACCGATGATAAACTAGCTAGGCATTGCAATGGAAAGTGATAGTTTAGGTAATTAAAATAGATTTAGAAAAAGCAGTGAATATTTTTCAAGAATGAAAATAAAATAATATGCACTTATAATTTAAAAATATTTTTGTTATATTAATTACAACGTTCCTAAATTTACAGATTTTTAATTTGTACGTTGGTATGATAATTCTTTTAATACATCTGTTCTTTATATTTGTAATTTGTAAATTACATTGTTAGTTAATACAAATGGTTTAACTGAAAATATTAGACTAAAAGATATCCAAATTATAATATGTAAGATGGCAATGGTAATTTTATAAAAATGGAAGTATAAAAATACTTTCAAGCAGTTTTTTTAAGTTACCTATTTGGACGGGTCAAAACATTTGTCTCCCTTATATTAAAAACTGAAACAACACCACTAATTTTCTACAAACTATTAAATGTGTACCTTTTATAGATTCTTCTAGAAAATCTTGAACTTCTTCCATCTTGGTTGTATCTAGAGATGTGGCTAACAAGAATTGTTCTTCAACTTCAATAAAGTTTTCTCTTAATAATTGACGACGTTCACAGAAAGGCCTTTTAACTAAAGATTCTCCATTGAGGTAGAGTAAATCAAACATATATACACATACTTGTACTTTAATATCTGCTTCATTGGCATTCTAAATTATTAACAATATCAAGTATTTTATTATATTTTACAAAACTGTTTAAAAATATTTTAAATAAATTACCTTTCGTTTACGAGTACTTAATATTTGGAAAGGCATTATTTTTTTATTTTCTCTATCCCATGCGACAGCTTCTGAATCCATCACAAAAGATTTAACATTGGGTCCTTTGACGGAATCCAAACGATTAACAATGTCCGGATATTTACTAGTATTATTTTCTTGATTACGACTGTAAATACAAATATCTCCGTCCTCTGTCAAATGAATCTATAAAAAATTAATTATCTATAAACATTTGATTTGAAAATGACAAAAAAATAGTAAAAATAATATACCTGAGCTCTTTCTCCATCATACTTCCATTCACATGTAAACTTCAATCCATCAAATCTACTTAGCACTTCATGTACACCTTTAGTTGGATGTGCTAACATTGGTTTTAAAGGTATCCCAGGAGTTAACTTACAATTTTCTGGTAAGGCGCTAACGCCCACTTCTAAGATAATAGGTATTATTATATCTAGATTTGGACTTTCACTAAAAATAAATATTAAGGATTTGTAAATCGAAAATAAATACGTCCAAGATATTATTTGTATTATTACCAATAAGTTGTTTTTATGGTTAAAGCATTTGAATCATAAGTTTTCTTGAATTTTTCTTCAGACATTTTTTTGGCCGCATTAAGTATTTTAGGTGGAAAATCTTGAGGTGGTGGCGTCATTGTACAAGCTAAACCAAGAGCCTAGAAAAAATCATTATGCATTATTGATTTCACAATACATTTTATATACTTTTAATTTCTATTTAAATATCAAAAGTAATGAGTAATTATTTATCAACTACTATAGTGAATTAAATATAATATATAATAAAAAAGTACTGAGATGCTGTTTGGATTATGTTAAAAAAACTACATCAATTTTTTTTTAATAAAATGAATAATCTACCTGTAGAACTGATTGTTCGGCAAGTCCTATTCTTAATTTTCCAGCTAATGATCGCATCAAAAATCTTGCTTCAGAATCTTGGCATGCAATGAACATTGCTTGAATTTTATCAAGTTTTTTAGCAGTCACCTAAAATATTCAAAATATATTGTTTGAGAATAAAAATTAGAAACTCAATACTTTATAGTTGATACACAAATAAGTATTAACTAATAAGATAATATGTTGATACATACTGCAGTCCCAGTCATTTCTGAGATATCCTTTAATTTATCAAATACACTTTTCACAGTTAATCGAGCAGGTTTAAACATTGTTTTTTGATTACTTTTACTTTTTTCTGCAACAATTCCTAAATCCCCGGTTTTTTTAACATCAGCTTTAACCTGTGCCATACTCCTTCCTGTGGTTTGAACTATAGCCTAAAAATGAATGTCAAATATTTGATGTAGTAATAAATAATTAATGTATACTATACAAATTGTACAAATACCTTTAAAAGTGTAGTCTCGGCAATGCCTAATTCCAAACCAATATAATCGGGACAAACTTTATTTAAACACAAGTATACACTTGGTAATAAATCTTTAGGATTATTCACAATCACTGATCGAAAATAATTTGAAAGTATTTCAATAATTTTCAATCTAGCACTAACCTCTTCAATGCACAATAAAGTTTTTGTTAATGCACAATATGGAGTCCTATTGAAATCACATTTTTAATTTTAGTGAATATTTAATAAATCAATTAATTTCAATTAGATATAATAAAAATGTAACGACTAAAATAAATTAAGTGATCCAAAACATAAAAAGAAATCATTTTTTTTTTTTAAGAAATAAATTTTTAAGTTATTTTAGAAACAAAATTATAACAATTATAATCTAGGATAGATTAAAAATTAAAAATTATATTATCTTTTTTACCATGAAGATACTACAATTTCAACTTCTGATATTAATAATTTTCACTCACGGTTGATTAGGTGGCCAAAAGGCATCTTTTATAGGATGGTAATTTTTTTTTTTTGGATCATATTCACTTTCAGAACATTTATGTTTTGAAGATTCATCAGCATCTTTTGCAGGAGACTGCTCTTCGCTTGAATTATCTGATTTTTCTAAAGATTCTATTTTACTTGACTTTTTTGATACTTTTTTCAATTTATTCTTAGTTTTTTTGTCAGTACTTAGTTTATTGTTGATTTTCTTATCAGAATCAGAATTATTCTCCTCGATATTAGTTGTCTCAAATTTAATGCTAGGTAGAGAACCTTCTTCACATTTTGTTTTACTAAAAATTAAATTGAATTTTTAAGAGGTGAAACCATATTTTAATTTAACTTCAAATATTAATTATTTATAATTTATAATTTATTTATTATTAATATTTACTTTTGGATTTTGTCTGGAAAATCATCTTTTATAGGACTGTCATCTGTTTTTGTTGTTCCACAATCACTTTCAGATATTTTATCATCATGTATTAGAGATTTATCTGTATCTTTTAGAGGAGACTGTTCTTCAATAGATTCTTCTAATTTTTCAGCAATTGGTTTATTCAAAAGTGTATCTTTTGCAAATTTTTTTTTACTATATTGAATATTCAGGAAAATTAAATAACAAATAATATTTTAAGAGAAAATATAATTTACTTGTCAGATGTTTCTTCATCACTATCACTAAATAATACAGCATGTTTTTTTCTTTTTCCATAAGTCTTTATTGGACTGGTGTGTACAACTTCTAGATCTCTATGAAAATTAACTATTCATTAATATTTTAGGAAATTTCAAATAAAATCTTATATAATTATGGGTATTATGATAACATGTTTGAATTTTAATATGAGTAATATAGAACTATTTTTTTTAAGAAATTAATTAAAAATAATGTTATGATTGCCACAATATATTATACAAAATAATTTATTTTACATCATCTTTAGATTAATTCATATACCTAGAATCTACATTAAATATCTATTTTATGGCATTAATTAGGGAATAGAATGGCTAAGTAGGATAAAGAAGCAGTTTTCATTTTTTCAAGCATCATAGCCAATTCAAACTCTGTACTAGTCTGATTTGTGTATCATATGATTTAGAAACGGGAAACAACTACACTAACTTTTCTCTAGGGGCCTACCAAAACCAGTTAAATTTTTAAAGAAATAAACCTTTGGAACAGCAATTTGATGAATGATTATAATTATGATATTTTCGAAATATATTAAAAAGTATTAACATTACAAAATATGTATTGACTTACTCTGGTGATGTCGAAGTTGTACTGACTGATAAAACTGGTTGATCTTTTTCCTTTTTAATTCCATTTTTAGGGCCAAAATAAGACCTGTATAAAACATTCATAAATAAACTTCCATTTTTATAAACCTAAAAAAAAGCCGAAAATAATTTTAAAAACACTCACATTAAAGTCCTTTGCGTCATTTTACTGTTTTTCAATAACAAACTATGACTGCAATAAAAGTTATTCAATAACGTTGAAGAAAACCGCCAAAATACTGTTTGCATCCTGTCTTTTCGTTAAAATGTTATCACTGAATTATCATTAATATTACTTCCCTATTCCATATTTCCATCACATACCCATAACATCTGACCCAATCACGACAAAATCGGAATTCAAAACTTCAGTAAATTTTAACTGGCAACACTGAACTATAGGCGCAGATCGTATGGCACAGATTTTTTTAGATCAGTATTATAGGTATACTATATAAAATTGTCTGAATATAATATTATAAAAGTTAGGCTATATTGGTCCCTTTTCTGCGATTATTTTCAGTACCATACATAATATTATACTCAAATACATCTTTAGAGTTCTGACGCCCCGGTATAAGTTTTATTTCCACCCCCAGTGGCTCAACTACGTAGGTACTTGAGGGTGCTTAAGCACGCCAAATTTACTTTAACCACCCCATGTTCCGTGCCGTTGTGATTTCAAATATCTATACCTGGTTTAAGCAATGAAATTTTATTTTTGAGAATTCATTATTATTATTTTGCATTCTGAATATATTATTATTGTATTATAATCTTAAATTATAAAATGTCAATTTATAATTATAGTTATTATTGTTATAAGAGATTTGTTAGGAGTTATAGATATACTCGGACCTTCAGTAGCCAGTAGGTACAGTATACAAAATGGCTACATTAGCTAAGGCTGAAATTATTATTAATAGTGTCACTGAGTCATTTCAAAATATGAGAATACATAAAGCATTTTCAGAATCATTGTTAAAAATCGTGAAATAATTTTATGAAAAAAAATACATATTATTGGATTTGTCCCATCCAGGTTGGTTATAGCTTCCATATTCATATTCATATTATAACTATATGTCTATATGATATTTAAAGCAGACTATTTAAAAATATAACTTTATAAAGCGTGAAAATAAAAAAAAATACTCAACCAAATACTTTAATAAATTTCCATTTGTAGACCATTTCCAAACTTCACTAATGACAAACAAAGTATTGAACACATTTGCTACTATCGGCATGAAATTATGTTTAAATTTTTATAAAAAGATAATATGTGTCAATTTTTTTTCTTATAATTATGTGAGGTGCCTATAAATAAGCGAATAATTATTAATTTCTAACTATAAAATTTCAAAAAGTTTGTCGTTTTTACTAAATCTAATCTAAGGCAAATTTGTATACAATATGCCATCCATCAATTAATACAAAAATACAGTGTTATATTGGTGTATCTTGGTTTTGGTGTAACCTAGTTCAGATTGTAATACACTAATACGCCAAACACCTTTGAAATCAATAGCTGAATACCCGGTGTAGCGATGTTCAAAAGTATAAAAAAAAATTCAAGATTAACTTTGATTTTTATTTCATTTTTAACACATTAATCATAGCAATGCACATTACTTATAGGGCTGAATTTATTTTTGTAAAGATTACGCCCAATACTTATACAAAAACACAAAGATTACAGATTTTCACTAGGTTATATAATTTTTTTTTTAAATAAAATAAATCTTTACTAAATAGACCAAAAGTTAGTACAAGTGATGTTTTAAATGTCCTAAAAAACTGACGACCATTTTGATAGTGTTAAAAAAAAAATTAAATTGATTTGTCGACAAATAATGTATTGTTATTTTTATAAGCATAGTAGTAACTTCTCACCTCCATCATTTTATGTGAATATTCTATTTATTATTTTACTATTCACGAATGTTTTTATAAATAAACCTGATAACCTATAGGTATTCATACCTAACGGCTAACCACATAGGTATTATATTAATTTTTCCCAGTATTACTGCAGACAGCTTCACAGCTGATGCCTGATCAAATGATAATTCAATATTGTGCAGGCAGCAGTGGCGAAATTTCTTTTGAACTACCTACAAATAATGTATTACTACTATTACTCTATTACCCGTATTACCTACTTGTAAATTGTAATATGTTGCACTTGTATTATTTTAGGTTTGTTAGGGCCTGCGAAAACGTATAGTACAGGGGCTCAAAATTTGTTGTTAGGGGCCTGTAAATAAGTGTCAGAACTTGAGTTTAGAAGCCCGAGATTGGGTAGTAATTTTCTGCTTTATTAAATGACATTTTTTTAGTTTTTTTGTTGGTGGACTAGAAAAATAACGTTTTGAATCGACAACCAAAAAGCGCGCGTTTTGGCACAGTGTAGCCACGCATTAATGGAGCATAACCGCTACCGTGGTTATTAATTGCAGCTGATTCGGTATTATCGTCTGCGTCGCCGACGACGATGGTCGGCGGACGGTGGAAGCAGGTTAGAACTTTATTCTGTGGCTCAATGGCTATAACGGGCCATACGATTGGTCGGGAAACACGGGCCCGACGACGGCGACAAGCTTGCACAGCTCCGGTCCTTTGTGCGGGTAGATAAACAACAAACGCCGGTGTTGACCGATAACCCGAGCGCCTGACAGTCGACGCCATTGGTCAAACGTTCTCTTCCACCCGCGGCTCGGCGATCATCATTCCGTGATTTCGTCACTACAGTGCATACTTTTCATTCCGCTCGGCGCTCTCCGCTGACTACAACAGGACTTTGGTTAATACTTATTAATTATACTACCGTCCGATCGTCCATCCACTCCACTCCGTCATTGATGTAGCAGCAGCAGCAGTGCAGCGCCGCCACAGTAACTTACTCGCTATCGCCGGTTACGACATTACACCGATAATATTAATAACAATAATTCGACAAAATATAATATTAAGTAATTTATTATTGTTGTTCGTCGCCGGGTATTCCACGGTATTGTAGTTTAATAATAGTAATATTATAACGCAATATCTATTACCGTTCGCTGCCGCCACTGCACAATCGTCGTTATCATCGCGTCGATTTTTTTTTGCTTCTTTCCCCCCGACATTGCGCACGATCGTTGCGAGTGAAAACTTCATTGGATTCCCGCTTCCTCGTAACTCATTGCGACAACAGTGCGCGTATACCGTTATCGCCGTGACCGTATTAATAACAACACCAAAGGCCGTGCACTCCACGATTAGTTTCTGTATTGTCCGATGTCTGGTGCTGAAGTACTAGACACCACCTGTGAACTGCCGGCCAAGAAGCGTAAACTGGCTTCCGGTGAACTGTCTACAGTGTCCGTCGACTCAGCACCGAGGAATCAGGTAACAATGTCGAATAACGGCGTGGAGGAGATCGATGAGGGCCTCTACTCGCGGCAGCTGTATGTCTTGGGCCATGAAGCTATGCGCAAAATGGCCACTTCCGACGTACTGATCAGCGGGCTCGGTGGTCTAGGCGTGGAAGTCGCCAAGAAAGTCATACTTGGTGGCGTCAAATCTGTTACGTTACACGATTCTGTCGTGTGTACCTACAGCGACCTATCGTCACAGTTCTATCTGACCGAAAATGACATCGGAAAGAATAGGGCGGAAATCAGTTGCCCAAAGTTGGGTGAGCTAAATTCCTATGTGCCCGTCAAGGCATACACTGGAATTTTGTCCGAATCGTATCTCAAACAGTTTAAAGTTGTCGTCTTGACTGAAACCACACTAGACGAACAGTTGCGCATATCAGAAATTACACATCTTAACAATATTGCTTTAATAGTTGGTGACACCAGAGGGGTGTTTGCCCAAGTGTTCTGTGATTTTGGTGAGGATTTCACTGTAATTGACTCAACGGGTGAAAATCCAATTTCTGTTATGGTAGCTGGTGTTACTAAGGAAGAACAAGGAGTAGTTACATGTATGGATGAGTCTAGACATGGTTTTGAAGATGGAGATTATGTAACGTTTCAAGAAGTACAGGGTATGACTGAAATAAATGGCTGTAAACCAAAAAAAATAACTGTCTTAGGACCATACACATTTAGTATTGGTGATACTACATCTTACTCAGATTATATCAAGGGTGGTTTTGCTACACAAGTGAAAATGCCAAAAAAATTAAATTTCAAATCGTTGAAAAATTCCTTAGCTGAACCAGAATATCTCATTTCTGATTTTGGAAAATTTGATAGACCTTCTCAATTGCATCTAGCATTTATAACTTTTCACAAGTTTGTTTCCGTGAATGGTCGTTTACCTATTCCATGGAGTTCTGATGACGCAAATGAATTTTTAAAATTAACCAAAAGTGTAAATACTGATTCTATTGAACTTGACGCTGATCTAATAAAAATATTTTCAAAAGTCTGTGCCGGTAATATTAATCCAATGACATCTTTTATTGGTGGTATTGTTGCTCAAGAAGTTATGAAATCATGTTCTGGTAAGTTTAGTCCAATATTTCAATGGCTTTACTTTGATGCTACTGAATCTTTACCAGAAGAAGTTACCGAAGAAGATGCCAAGCCTATTGGTAATCGCTATGATGGTCAAGTCTCCATTTATGGACGAAAATTCCAATCCATTTTAGGAAATTTGAAATATTTTGTTGTTGGTGCTGGGGCTATTGGATGTGAATTGTTGAAAAACTTTGCTATTATGGGTGTTGGTTGCGGCAATGGCAAAATTTATGTCACTGATATGGATTTAATTGAAAAATCTAACCTGAACAGACAGTTTTTGTTTAGAGTTCAAGATGTACAAACATCAAAATCTGAAACAGCCGCTAAAGCAATTAAACTTATGAATCCTCACGTGAACGTTGAACCACAAACAAATAGGGTCTGTCCTGAAACTGAACAGACTTATAACGATACCTTTTTTGAAAATTTGGATGGTGTTGCTAATGCTTTGGATAATGTTGATGCTCGTATATATATGGACAGACGTTGTGTTTTCTACAAAAAACCACTTTTGGAGTCTGGAACATTGGGTACTAAAGGTAACACACAAGTAGTAATACCAAACTTGACAGAATCCTATAGCACATCTCAGGATCCTCCAGAAAAAAGCATACCAATTTGTACTCTTAAAAATTTTCCAAATGCTATTGAACATACATTACAGTGGGCTAGAGATCTATTTGAAGGTCTTTACAAACAAACTCCAGAAAATGTAAAACAATTTTTAGAAGATCCTACTTTCATTGAACGTACAAATCGTTTACCTGGACTCCAACCAGTTGAAATTTTGGATTCTGTAAGAGCTTCGGTTGCAGAACGCCCTAAAAGTATTGATGATTGTATTGAATGGGCTAGAATGCACTTTGAAGATCAATTCACAAATCAAATCAAACAACTTTTATTCAATTTTCCACCAGATCAATCAACAACTAGTGGTCAACCGTTTTGGTCAGGACCCAAACGTTGTCCAAAACCAATTATATTTGACGTTAATAATACATTACATTTGGATTATATTTTGACAGCAGCCAATTTAAGAGCAGAAACCTATAATATTAATCAGATAAGGGATCGTGTCTATGTTGCCAATGTTGTATCTTCGGTTAAAGTTCCTGAGTTTGTCCCAAAGTCTGGTGTAAGGATTGCTGAAAATGATTCACAGATAACGAATGGATCCTCAAATTATGACCAAAGCAAATTGAATAAAACTCAAAAGGATTTACCACCAACAGACTCTCTAAAAAACATAAAAATTATTCCTTTAGAATTTGAGAAAGATGATGATAATAATTTACATATTGATTTTATTGTGGCCGCTTCAAATTTAAGAGCAACAAATTACGGTATTCAACCAGCTGATAGACATCGAAGTAAACTCATTGCTGGTAAAATCATTCCAGCAATTGCCACAACAACTTCCGTTGTTGCTGGTCTCGTTTGTCAAGAATTCATTAAATTAGCTCGAGGATTGAAAGATTTGGAAAAATACAAAAATGGGTTTGTGAATTTAGCTTTACCATTCTTTGGTTTTTCTGAACCCTTACTAGCACCAAAATCCAAATATTATGATGTTGAATGGACTTTGTGGGATCGTTTTGAAGTAGAAGGAGAACTTACATTGAATGAATTTTTAAATTACTTCAAAGAAAAACATGCACTAGAAATCACAATGCTTTCTCAAGGAGTTTGTATGTTATATTCATTCTTTATGCCTAAAGCTAAAAGGGAAGAGCGTATCAATACTAAAATGTCTGAAATCGTACGCAATATATCAAAGAAAAGGATTGAATCACACGTAAAATCATTAGTTTTTGAAATATGCTGTAACAACACTGATGGTGATGATGTGGAAGTACCTTATGTTAAGTACAATTTGCCATCAGACTTCCAATATTAAAAGGTAAATTTATATTTTAATAAACTTATTCAATTTTGTATTAATAATGTTAACTTGAAGAGTTGTAAACTTATATAGTTTAATATTATATATTATTTCTTTTTTTGTTTCAGATAATTTGTCAAAAAAAAAAAAGTAAACGTTGGTAATCAAAGACCCAGCCAATCAAGTACATTTTTGGTACCTAATAATTCTTATTACTTTTTATAATTTAAAATTCAATGTGTGTTTTTTTTTTTTATATATATTAATTATTATATTAAAAATATAAGATAAGTTTATATATTTATCTCCAACAATTAAAACAAATAAAACAAATATAATATATATACTTTTTTCTAACTCTGGTGTTCTGTCTAACTATAGAAATAAATATTTATATTGATAAAAAATGAAGAAAAATGTGATTTTTTTATTTTTGAACTTGCCTTTTTCAAATACAATTTAATAGATACATGTTAATTTACAAATTTGTTAGTAGTATATTAATTTTCAATGTGTTAAAATCCAAGGTAATGTAGCATATGAAGGAATGTGTATTTTTATTTTTTACAGACTAATTAATGTAGCATTTTCGTAATTATTGTGTAAATATTCAATAATATATAAAATACATATATTTATATATAAATGTTATCCAAAGTAATAATCTAAAATTATTTTCAACTATAAAAATTAATCTTAATTTACTAATAGGTATTGTTTTTATAATTTGTCAATACTAAAAACACTGAATTAATATAATTTTAAAATGATCATATGAATGGGGAAGCTATAATTGTGTTTTGCTTAAAATTTGTATTTCAATTTAATAAAGTTATTTATACACAACTTAAATTTCATTGTTATGTACACATGTATATTGCATATTAATGTGAATTATTTATAATTCTATTGAAAGTAATTTCAGAAATTTCCCGGATTTCATATTTTATCTGCTGTACCTATAATCTTATAATAAATTATAGTTGTTAGTATTAAACAACAATATCCAACATCTTATTTTGTCCATCAAGTATATATTAGTTATATTTATTAGTGTAGAATAATGAGGAATGACTAATATAGTAATTATATGGGTTATCTAGAATAAGATGATAAAAGTTCAATACACATTGAAAAACTAATTTTCTGGTTTTGAAAAATTTAATGGCTGCCTTAGAGAATTAAAATTTTTATAAAGACATTTTGTAGATTTGAAAGCTTACCTAATAAAATGTAATTTTTTGTAAAAGAATGAACTTGTTTCGCATTTGAACAAATAAAGTGTATTTAATCAAATGAACAAATAAATTGTTTTCTATAAAAAAAACAACTTGTTTGATATCATTATTTTATACTTCAAATTATAATTTTATTTTATGTATGTCAGTTAATCATACAAAAATTCAAACTAGGCAAGTAAACCATTTTTTTAACTAGTTCAAGTTAAGTTATCCTAAAATAAAAAATGACTAAGCTAAATTAAAGTTAATTATATACATTAATGAATTTGTCATAAGTTTAGTCACAAATGTTCAGGAAAATAATAATTTAAGTTACTTACATATAACAGTAACTGTTACTACAGTAAAATTGTAGAACGGATTTGCTTGGTAGTTGGTACCAACTGATTTTACAGTTGTAGGGAGACTAAGACTTATAGTATACAGGTTATACTGTACTGCTGTTATTTTCTGTTGTAAGTAGATTTCTGTCTTTTAGGGGGGTTGGTTATAAGGATGTTATATTTTATATTATTCTAAAGTTTAGTTTGCAGGAAATATACAGTACTTGGGCACATCAGAAATTAGCCTGGTTGTTCCGGCTGTGTTATTATTATCATTAACATTAACAGACTTCTTAAATGTCATAATTTCGGAGAAAATATAAATGCCTTAATTTCCTAATTTTATTTAAAAGGGAAAATTTTAGTCACTATAATAATAATGTATTGAGTACAATTGTTGGCAGATATCGCTTCCTCCAGGGGTTCATCAATATTTTAGACTTGCCATACAATATTCATGTGGGTTTCTATAGAATACATGTCCATCTTCTTATATGGTAAATCACTACTAATAACTTTAGCAAAATAACTAATTAAGTTACAATATTATTTGTGTATGAAATAACTTAGTTACCAACTAAGTTTTCTAATATTTTTTTTATAAACTAGTCAGTTAAAAGTTACCAACATATGAATTAGGTTAACTTTTTAACTAGACACTGCCTAACTTCTCTAAAATATTACTGTATTGGTTTCAATTTTGATGTTAATGTTGAAACTATTAAATTTGTAATATCTACCTTCATTAATAGTGTTAACCCCGAACGACAGTTTTTGGGATTTGCTGATGACATAAAAATATATTTTATGTATTTATTCAATAAATAACTGTTACTTACTCCAGAGTGACTTAAACATTCTTGTGTCCGAGGCCAACACTTTAGGCTTATCATTCAATAATTAAAATTCAAAATTCTATTACATTTACTTGCTTAAAAAACCCAGTTAGATCTTTATATTTCATCAATAATACCTCAATTACTTCTCCGTGATTTGGGATTTATCTTTACTCCTACACTTTGTCCCAATCAACTTATTGAAAATGTATGACATGTATACTTGATATCTAGTATCTACTGATCTGGGGTATTTTAGTAAATCATCTTCATCATGAGACATGAAAATTACAATTAATAACTTAAGGGGATTCGATACCGTCATTTTCTGTTTTTGTCTAACACACGCGTGACATAGTAATTTAGACGTATTTTTTGCCAAACATACTAAAAGGTAGGTTAGGTTAGGTAATTATTATTACTATTTTACTAATTGATCTAATGAAGCGATAATAAATCTGAAAACAGATTTGAATTTGTCGTCAAGTACACTTGAAATCGACTTTCCCACATTTTTGATATTATCCCCCAAATTCCTAAAAATGTCATATTAAAAAAGAGCATTTAAAAATTTTTGTATTTCAATTTTCGGAGAAGTTAAAATCAAAAAATCATAAATGTGGGAAAGTCGATTTCAAGTAGACTTGACGACAAATTCAAATCTGTTTTTAGAATTCTTATCGCTTCATTAGATCAATTGGTATATTTGGCAAAAAACACGTCTAAATTACTATGTCACGCGTATGTTAGACAAAAACAGAAAATGACGGTATCGAATCCCCTTAATATATTATGTAAACGGAGCTTACACTGGAAAACTAGATAAGCTTGCCAATCAAATGAAATAATATTTTATTACATGATTATTAGATCATAAAGAAATATGTTTATAGATAGAAAAAAATCTTTATTTAAATATTATATTGTACATAATTGAAACTATTATTCTATACATTTTTGGAAGGCTTAATAAAAACTTTTTTTCGTTTTAGTTTCTTGCGCATTACTTCAACTTCGTGTAATTCTGAATATACTTCAGCAAATATTTCTTTTTGTTCTTCTTCTGGTATTGTTTTCCTATAACACCAAAGATTATATTAAAAATATAATATAGTCAATAAAAGAAGTAAAAAATTTAATTTACCTGTATTGTTTCATTAAGTCATATTTCTCCCAGGGCGTTGCTAATTCTTCAGCTCTTTCATAAAACCGATCTTCTAGCCCTAAGTCAGCTAACCCTTTCATATTTTTTCTTTCCCACCTGGCACGCCAAGGTCTAGGTTTTAGCTTGACCTAAAAAAAAAATATATATACGTATATATATTCAGCTGTAATTTCTGAAGTTAGTTTTTAATCATTATTTAATTTTTACCATTTCAGGATTCACTGGTACAGGTGCTCCTTCAGGTAAATATTCAACTTCCATATTTTCATCAAATGTACTGTATTCATTAGGAGCATCTCTTAAGTATAACAATTCATCATCAAGACGTTTCTCTAAGCGTAAAACTTCAATTTTTTGTATAGTCGGATCGTAAAGTTGATATTTCATTTCCGTACCTGCATTTTAGATAATTTAAATTAGCCTTAGTATAATCTAAAACAAACCATGTTTGTTATATTCACTTACCAATATGCTTAATAACATTTCTAAGGGTAAAATTAGCTCTGAGACCACATCCTAAACGTTGTATGCATATACCCACAAAACGAGTAGCTTTATTAGGAGCGTGTTGATTAGATGATGAAACAGCCATGATAGACCCTAAAATAAAAAAATTTTAGTTAAATATTAGATTTATGTATACATGTATACCAAATATACACGAATTGGATATTTTAGTAGTAAGCAGTGGCAGGCCAGTTTTGAAGCAAGCAACTTCAACTTCTCAACGAGGTGGTGACAGTGGCCACTAAGTCTATGCTTGGTCTATTGCTAGCCATGGTCGGAACTTTTTCAACCATATTTTATTCATATTAAAACTTTGTCATAAATAAATAATGTATATTGTGGGGAAATGCAATAATAAATATACCTTCATGCGCACCAAACTTCTTATAAATAAAAGTCTACTCAAACCAATGTGGGCGTACGGTTTGCAGTTATGGGGTAGCGTAAAAAAGACAAACTTTAAAATTCAAGCATTACCAAACATTGCTCTAAGGAAATTAACAAATGCACCTCCTTAGGTCTCAAATTGTTCCCTTCATTCAGATCTAAAATTAAAAACAATAGCTGAGGAATCTAAATGTTTCTATAAAAGATTCTACAACCACCTAAGCACTCATTCGAATCCACTTATCAAAAAATTGGCCTCCACTACTATACCAGGTAATCCTCGAAGACGCCTAAAGCGCAAGTGGTGTAGTGATTTGTTACAATAAAATATATTATATATAAAAAAAAAAAAATTAATAATTAATAACTATAGAAAGTGTCATCAATGGGTGGCTCCTTTTATCAAATTATTTTCCTGTGAATGTACTTTTAGCATATATTCTTATTGTATCAATGATACAGATTGTAAATTACTTGTAAAAATAAAAATAAATATTGTGGAGTGGTGGAGGTAGTCAATACTTAAATATGAAATAAAATAATTTAAAATTTAAGTTTAGCCTGTCACTGGTAATAAGTTGGAAAATAAAATTACTTAATCACGTTTAATGAAAAATTATTATTTTAATGACAAAGTATAAGTTATTTATTTTTTAACAGTATATTTACTAACAAAATGTAGCAATAAGCAAATTTGTTAGACTTTTGGGGAAAAAAATGTACATCTGATCAAATAGTTATCTAGTACCTACCAACATAAAATTCAGGTATATCTATATGTTTTCTTCGTTGTATCATGTCCATGCGTTCTAGTTTTTCTCGTAACGAGTTTCTCCATTCCATTTTAGGATCAGGTAAAAACTCTGGATATATAAATCTAGAATTGGACGGCACAACCGATTTTCTTTCAGGTTTAACTTGTTTTCCGGATAACGATTCATCAGAGGACTGTTGAACGTCAGACAGTGGGGAATTGCTATACGACCTGGATACCTGAAGCACTGTGAAAAAAATATTTAGCAATCTTGCGTGTTTAAAAACTGTACAAAATATAGGAATGTTACCAGGTGCAAATCCACACTGAAATCCGTGAAATTTTAAATTTCTCAGCAACATATTGAATAATGTTTTTTCGAACGGTTTATGTACTCATTTTACAATTTACAAACATTTGTAAGCGAATTAATAAAAAATAAATTAAGGTGCACTAGCACCGCTCGGCAATAGTGGAAATTAATAATTATCACTATCAATTATCAAATATTCTCGCCTTATCAGTTTCTGTGATAGTGTGATAACACAAGACCACGGGTGGTCGCGTTCACGATTTAAGATATACGATATAAGATATATAGGTATATCTTAAATCGTGGTCGCGTTGAAGGTGTGTAACACGGTTTAAGATAATCTACGCAGTGTGCTAAGATGTAATTGATACGAGTTTGCCAAGCTTAGACCATAGAATATTATTGTGATCTAAGGTTTTACGACTTTACGTTATATTTCACAACTAAACGGGACGTTCACCAGAAGGTCTTAATTCCTAAAGGATTTGAACAGTGAACAGATCTTTTTTTATATCGTGATTCATTAGTTCATTACTTAGATCATACCATTATTTACTCAGCAGTAAGCAGTGCTTACTAAGCACCATTACCAACTTGATGATTCGGTAGTCGGCACTCGGTTATCAAAAATCGGCCTGCAGTGGTTACGACATCCAGACTTCGTCTTCGAAAATTTGAGCGCTAGTGGTGCAGCCTGCTGGTGCGGTATTATGATCGTATAATGATGCGCGTGCCGTGCGGCATTACCATTGTGTTTACTCTCGTTATTATTATATTTCCCGATAAAAGTGTTATTACACATTAGACGTTCGTGATAGTGAGTACTGACTCTAAGTACTAGCTAGTGGCTAACTGACTATGTTTGTGTTGCGTTGATCTTACGTTTCTACGAGTCAATTTTCTAAATCATTTGCGATTTGTTGGTTTTTCGCAGACGATGTACAACGGAATCGGTTTGGCAACAGCCCGTGGATCGGGCACCAACGGTTACGTACAACGGAATTGGGCGGCCATAAAAAAAGTCAAAGACCAGACGTCATTTAAGACCGACGAAGAGTTGGCCAAAATAGATTCTGCTGCCAACCGTCAGCCCAACCAGGAGCTGTTGGATCACGACCGTAAACGAAAGGTCGAGCTGAAATGCATTGAACTCGAACAGTCTTTGGAAGACCAAGGGTATTTATTATTCGACAAATATTGTGCTGATTTAAATCCAGTACCTACATTCGATCTTATTTAAACACTTGTTTTACAGTTTTTCCCAAGATGAAATTATCAAAAAGATAAATACGTTTAGAACGACGTTAATGGGCAAACAAAAGACTACGACTGAATATGATGAATGCGGTAGACCTATGTAAGTATAAATAATCATATATTATAGTCAATCATATGTATAAATATATATATATATATAAAGTATATACATATTTCTTAACCTTTATATAATACTTACTTAAAAATTAATCTGTTGATAATAATGACAAATATTAGAGCTTCTACAATATTTTACTAAACACCTATTATTATTTCATGTATTGGTAGTCTATGTTAGTACCAGAATGATATGTATTTATGGTTTTAATATGTATGATAAATTATACAGATTTATTCTGTTGAATGCAATTTTTTGTACCTATCAACATTTATTTATAATATATATTGCATATTATTATTACAAACCAGCAATTTATATAAGAGTTTCTCTGAATTTAATTTTGTGCTTTATAAATTTGATAAATTTTATCTAGATTATTCTTCCAAAGAAATAATTACAAATACAGGTATCTATTTTTTTTTTATCTACTTTTTTGCTTTATAAGATTCTTAAAATTTACAATGTTTATTATTTAGTGGTCAAAATATTGTTTAACAAAATACAATTTGAATGTATTTGTTAATAAAAAATGTAATATGTAATCACTGTATATAAAGGGAAGTTATTCCACTAACATTGCATCCCTGTTTGGATCAATACTACAACCCACCCCTCTTCACCATCAAAGGCACCCCCATTGGTAAACAGTGTATGAGTCACTGTCTATATACATTTATATATTCATGAATGTTTTTTTTCTTTAGTTGCGTGTGTTAATTTTGCTTTGAGTTTTATAATGAGTAAAATTAGTGTTAATTAATAAAATATTGTAAAGTAACTATGTAAACCATGAAGGAACCACAGTATAAACCACCATGATCTAATCACAATTAAATATGTAACTATGTCTTCCAAAATTTGTATGTGATATTAGTATTTTAATAATACATTTAGTCTTCCATTTATAAATTAAATTAATATTCAAGTCTTCAAAATATTTGAAATTGTGATAAGATTTAACTTAGTATTTAATATATTTTAACTTAATTGATTTATACTGCATTAATAACAATAAAATGTCATACCCAAATAATGTGGAACAACAATGTTTCAAGCGAGTATGGAAAAAAACTCTAAGATCTGTGTATAAAAACCCTACAAATGCTATGATAATGGCTGAAACAAAATCTGTCCAACAAGTAAATGTTAATCTCAAGAAAAAAAAATCTAGACGTCGACGAAAAAAAAAAAATAAGCAGAATATTTGTGATTGTTGTATGGATAGAACCCGTACTATGAATGGCTCAATATCAACTTTAAATTCAAAGGGATCATTATTCCTTCATCATGTGCCTTGGGGTTGTCTGAACACTGTTTGTGTTAATGGAATGCAGTTTGCTAATATTAATAGCTTAAAATCATTTTTAAGGTATTTTAAGTAAATAAATATTTAAAAAAATTGTATTGCCTTTCGAGTCCTATACTTTCTAAGTATTTTAAATAATATGTGTGTGGCTATTAGATAGTTATTATAATTTATTGGTATATAAAAGAAATTATGTAGGTTGTATGCATTTAATATATTAGGAATTTATTTGAACGTAAGTATATCATAATCTTGTCTGTTAGGTTTAGAAAATTATGTTGGTATTAAGAGGTAAAAAATATGTTTATATTCATATTTTAAGATTTTTTTTTTATATAGTCTTATATTATTAAATAATTCATTTTTATTTTATATTTCAGTGTAAGGGATTCTCATCAATTTGCCGACGAACAGTTAAAAAAGAATGCAAGACTTAGAGATGCTTTTGGTATATCAGAATTTTTTATTGAAGGCTCTAGCTTAGATCCAGAAAGAAAAATTAAAGAAGCAGCACTGGCCCAGTTAAAAGCGTTGCAGGTGGACCAAGCACTTGCGCAAACACAAATGAATGAAGACACCTCAACAAATAAAGACAGCAGTATAGCTAACGAACTACAGTAAGAGTTATACTTTTATTACTTTAACTCATATTTTATATTATTTGGAACATTTATAAGTTTTTAACAGAAGTGTACAATAATTTATTCATATTTTGTTTCATTTAAGGTCTAAAAGTCCTAAACACAAAAAACGAAAGAAGAAGAAATCAAAATCCCATAAAAGTGACAAGTATGTTTAAGACTTTAATTTTATAAATATTAATCAGAACATTTTTTTACATTTAAGGATAAGTATAAAATATATTTGCCACTAAGCTGATGATCAAAGATTAAATTTGATCTTGTGTATGTAATAGTATTTTTATCTAATTTTAGTTTAGAAGAACTACAATTGTCTAAGTAAACCTTTGATCATCATTTTATAAATAGTAGCTTTATGCATTTTTATGACACACTTAGATGTATGAAGTGAAAACTATTTGTTTAATTAGGCAATTTGTTGATTACTGTTTAGTTAAACTGATTAAAGGATATTAAACTAAATAGTGGTAAGTTACTATGTTTTCCATACAATAATTTTTGTTTTGGTGTGATTTTCCATACAGTATTGTATTCTGCTATACTCACATAAATACTAAAATATTAATTATTATAACAATATTATTCATTTGCTGATAAGTAATAACTAAAAAAAAAGAAATGAACATAGTTTTCTTGTTCTGCTCAAAATCTAATACACGTATTTAGGTTATTTGACAATTTATTATTGTATGTAATTGAAATGTTTTTAAACATTTTTATTTTTTACTTATTCAGTATTAGTTTTATTTTTTATATCCCCTAGAATATGTAAATAAAATAAAAACAAAATTCAAAATTTTTGTTTTCCATTTTGAATTCATTATTATTTTATAACAAGTGTATTTATTTTTCTATGTTCAAACTTGATCATATTATAATAATATTTTTTCCCCTCAATTGGTTTAAATTAATGGAATAAATGTAGAAAACTATATTATTTCACATTAATGATTTTAGATATTAAATATTAGTTAGTTCTAAACATTTTCATATTACATGATTGGGATTTAATTATCTTTTTTTGATCATTGGTAAATCTTCTAAAATATTTTTAATTAATTTTTAGTACACTAATTGAATTAAGTAAAATAAATAATAATAAAAACTCTAACTATCTTACACTTTCAGAAAAATGGCAGGATAATATTTTTATGAATATTTTACTTTTTTTTTTTTGTAATTGATAAAATTCATTTTTTACATATTGAATGTAATTGTAAATATTAAATAATTTATATATGTATTGTTTTTACAGAGAAAAGGGAAGTGAAAAGAAAAAATCAAAAAAACATAAAAAGAAACATTACTCTTCATCTGAAGATAGTTCAAGGTAGTATTTTTATTAATAAGTAATAAAAATTAATTTAAAAAAAAGTATATTTAGTTAAAATTGTAGTTTTGCATACACAATTATTTGATATAACGCTGCATTGGTATTTTTTCTCAAACATACCTTATGGCGTTACACAAAATATTCTTATTTAAATACAGTTAGACGAAAAATACTTATTTTAAACACAAATTAAACAATATTCTGGATATTTGACTGTGATATTATTGAGCGATTTAAGTTCTTAAAGGTTATATTATAATCCAGCAGTCACCAACCACTGTACAATTGCAGTACAAAAATATTAAAGATATAATGTAGGTAGGATTATTTTTTATATTTATCTAAAATTAAAATTTTGAAAAAATCATCAAAATCCGAAAATTTGCAAATTAATTTTTGATTTAAAATCCATAAAATTATTTCTTTTCTTTGTTGACATCATCAATTTTAAGAGGACGTGATACCTGCATGTGTTGTCTCTGTCTTACAAGTGCGTAACATAGCAAATTGTACTCTCAGCAGAACACGTGTAGCTCCGTTAGTTTAAAAATTAGTGCGAATTGACCTCATATAAAATCTAAAGGTAAGATTTTTATCTAGGCAACCTCATAGGATTTTTATTATATTTTAATTTTAACACGAGTTATGAGTATTTTAAAATTGTAAATTTTTTATACATCTTAAAATACTTATAACTCGTGTTAAAATTAAAATATAATAAAAATCCTATGAGGTTGCCTAGATAAAAATCTTACCTTTAGATTTTATATGAGGTCAATTCGCACTAATTTTTAAACTAACGGAGCTACACGTGTTCTGCTGAGAGTACAATTTGCTATGTTACGCACTTGTAAGACGGAGACAACACATGCGGGTGTCACGTCCTCTTAATAGAAGACTTCCCACTAGTTTTTCTACAATTAACAAACAAACAGTTGACTGGAAAGTTACGTTATTTTTAATTTTTGTTAATTCTTTATAGTATAAACACTATACTTTATAACGGTCCATAGAATTTGAAATTATAGATTTAGTGGTCTGTGAGGTCCAAAATGTTAGTGACCGCTGATATATTTAGCTAAATAAAAATATCTTGACAATTAGGCAACAACGATGTTGTTTGCTTTTATTTTTGTCATAATTTACTGAAAATGTCTTGTTATGACTAAAGTGTTTTTAGAATATTATTGATACAATAGACAAAGTTAGTAAATGCTGGTAAAGCACTAAAAAATAGAATTTGCATTACTTAGAAATTAAAGTACTCTAAAAAAAATCAATTTTTATAATTGAAAAGTAAGATCTAACAATCAACTTCTAAGTTTATAACATTATTTTTTTTGGTTTTAATTTCATGATTGATCAATTATATTTATGGACAACACTTTTTTTTTTTAGAATTGACGAAGTAAAAGCCAACAAGAATTTGTCTCTAGTTAAATCCAAGTATGGTGATGATAAATCTAATAAAATAATTACTGAAACTAAAAAAAAATATGATTCTGATAATAACCATAAAAAACATAAAAGGGATAATGATAAAACATTTAAGAATGATACAAAAGAAATAGAATACAAGTATAAGAGTGATAGAGACGATTACCGTAAAAAAGATTCTAAACCAGAAAACTTTAAAAACTTGAAAAAAGATAAAGTAACTGAAGAACCTGACAAAACAAAGTCTATAGATATCTTTAGTGATTCTAAAAAACATGAAAATTCACCTAGACATAGAACACCAATAAAAGAACGTGATAGGGATAGAGAGAGAGATTATGATAAATATCGTGATGACAGTAAATCAAATAAAGAAAAATCTGATAGAGCAGACTCAAAATACAATTCAAGAAAACGGAATTCGAGGAGTCCTGTTAAAGAATTAAAAAAGAAACCTATTCAACCTTCAAAGTTAACCTGTATTCCTGTAGATAGTGATAGTGACAAATCATGTTATACACCGCCTCCTAAGGGGTTGAGTGCTAAATTGAGTCAATCAAACATTAATGAAGAAAAAAACTCAAAGAGTACTAAATATACATTTTCATTGCGCGAGGATAGTGAGGATAGCTTAGTTGTAGCAAAGTCAAATGGTCGTACCGACGACTTGAAATCAACATTACAAAACAGTGAAAATCAACATAAGAAACCTGAATTTCGAAAGACAAATGATCACATAGATCAAGGAATTTTCGATTCTACTACAAGTGAAGAAGGTGGGTTGGACGAAGATATTGATTTAAATATAATTAAAGAAATCACTACAGAGAAAATAAAAAAAGTATTTGAGTTGCACGAAAAACAAGAGCAAGCACTGCTTCATCTAAAAAAAAAACTAATGGAGAAAAAACGTAAAATTAGGACTTCTTCCAGTTCAAGTCAAAGTTCAGATGAAGAACCTGTTAAAAAGAAAAGTGTCAAACGAAGACGTGTTAAAGATTCGTCATCTAGTAACAGGTTTGTAAAATGTTTTTTTGTCATAAAAATCTATGATTTGTTTATTTAATAATTAACTGAGAAGTTAACAATATATATTTATTTATTCACTTTTACATTTCTTGCTTAGTTTTACATGTGCTTTTCTCTTCAATAATTACTTATTCTGCTCATTTATGTTTTGGTAGTGATGTGAATACTAGAAAAAAGTCCAAGCGCTCCCGCTCTAGTAGCAGTAGCAGCAGTGCAAGTGACACAAGTGTCGACCATCATAAGTCATTAAAACGATCTAAAGATAAATATTCAAAGAAAAAGTCACCCCCATTGCGTCGTCGTACTAAAGATAGTACATCTCGATCTCGGTCCGTGTCAGTTAGCTCAAATGAACGTTTACGTAAGAAACGAGTTTCCTCAAGTGAAGAATCAAGTCCAAGGCGTAAGCATAAATCATCTAAACGCAAACGTTCATCTCGGAGACAGAGGAGCAGTGTTAGTAGTAGCAGCAGTAGATCATCACCATCCTACAAAAACAAAAGACGTTATAGTTCAAGCCGTTCACGTTCGACTAGTAGTTCATCAAGCAGTCATTACTCCCGCAGTTCTAGTTCTAGCCGGGACTCAAGCAGCTCTGGGTCTAGCCGTAGTTCAAAGTCTCGATCTGCATCTATACCTAGGCGACGAGGGTCGCCTAGTTTTTTGGATCGAAGACGAATTACAAGGTAAATTTTAATATTGTGTGTGTTCTATACCTCCTATTTCATTTTTTAATTAAATATATCTTGAGTTAAACAATTCCATAAATTGTTTGTTTAAACTATATAAAACATAATATGTTAAAATTTTTTATTTACTCAAATTCTCAAACAAAATAGTAAAATTATGTTCCTATCTCATTTTAAATTATGCTCGAATCACGATTTGGATGATGAGACTGGAACACAGGTATCAGGCTATCAGTTTATGTATTTTGTATAAATATTGTCCAGTGTGTGTAAAATACAACCTTTTTGTAAATTTATGGCAAGTCTTAGTTATTGTTTTACAAAAAAATTAAATGAGAAGTTAATGTCTTAATTATTACAGTTGAATATAACCATAAAAAACTTAATTTTTGTGTATATATATTATATTTCTTCCTATAATATCTAAATGATGAGCCGTTAATTTATGAAAAAGTTATTTTTGCTAATTCAATATTACATTAGCAAAACAAATTTTATTTTGACTATTGATTATTTTTATTTTGCCACCCTTATGTGCTTAAATTGTCTTTTAATTATAACAACATTTATTTTTTTTTTCCTAGTAGAATATATTTATGCATGACCATGTAGATATAAATTACTATTATCTATGCAATAAAAAAAAATTGTGCGATTTGAATTTATCCAAACAATTTTTACTGTGTTTTTATTTCTCTACCATTTTTTTTTTTTGAATTATCAAAAATACAACAAATAATTGAATGCAAAATCGTACCAAATAAACAAATAAATTATCTCATGTACGTTTTTGTTGTTCAACACATTTTATTGTACATCCTCACGTATCACTTGGAACAGTGTAGTAGACCGTCACAGACACCTTATTTAAAATATCGCTTGTAGGAAAAGCGATCATGTGAAAATCATTTGTGCACTTTGAATTGTTATACCAAGTGACATCATACTTATGTTTTTGCTTTCAGATAAGTTTATGCATCATGGCTATATTATAATTTGTGTGTTTTATTTTTATTATTTTTTTTTTTTTTATTTAGATTTGTTAAGTTTTGATTTTTGGCAGTTTTTTTTGTTTACAAGCTGGTAAATATCGAAATTCCATTTTCACCAAATATTTTGAATTCTGCAGTTAAATCTCCAATAACAGTTAAAAATTATTTTGTAGTGCGAGAAAAAGACCTATCCCATACACAAGACTAACGCCGTTTTCCACCAATTCTGATACGGATAGTGTCATCAGCGTGCACGACTCACCAATTGCTGAGAGCCACTAACTCGGAACTTTTTCTTTGTAAACTAACACAATTTGTTATAGTGCAATAACCATTAGGCCAACGTTTAACGGTTAAGTTAACTAACTCTAGTCAAATATTTGTGGAATGTGAAATAATCATTTTTCATAATTTTATTATTATTTTAATCTTCCTAGCAAACAAGTGATTTTATAACTTACATTCCATGTAGAGTATCCATGAGACTATTATTTACGAAATCTAGTCAAAATTCGTTCTTTTACGTCTTGTAAATGTTTTAAAATCTTTGTGATATATTATTTTTGACGGGAATAATACAATATTTTTCATGTTACCGATAATATGTTGTTCTATGTTATTATTTATTAATTTATTATATATATTTTTTTTTATTTATATATACAAAATGTGTATGTTTAAAATAATGTTGTTCGGTAATTTTCAAAAATGGACCAAAAGTACCGACAGTATTTAAATTTTTTTAATATAATACAAAATATCAACTCGCTATTACATAGTATTCTATGTTATATCATTTTTAAGTTTGAACATATTTAATCGATTTTGGTAGAAATAAAATGTCTGTTTGTAATTATAACATGTGCAATAAGATATAAGCAAATTAATAACAACCACCTAACTATTGCTTTATTACAAGTTACCATTTAACAAATTTAATTATAGACAGTTAATACAATTCATTTTTAAAATACCATATTGGTTTTATTGTTGTCATTCATTTGAACATATATACAATAAAAACAGTCTTTAAAAACTACAATAAACCACTTCCCAATTAAAAATTTTAACATTAAGCATAATATTAACAAACCTAATTGCTCAGTCCTTTGAAATACAAATATGCTTCCACAAAATTTTTTTAAAATAAATATTAATATCTAATAAGCAAATCTATGAAAAAATGTTTATGTACAACTGTAATAAAAATTAGGTAACAGTATTATGTGTAACCATAACAATTTTTTTGATGTGTGCAATTTATGTTTGTTTTTCTTTAATAATATTAAAATATAAAAAAAAATACTGAACATACTGTAATAGTCTTGTAATATATATATAAAAAAAAGAAAAAAAAGGAATATTAAAAATATATATTTATTATATAACTCTTCATAGTCTGCAGAGTAGAAGAAGTGCTCCAAAAAATGCGATCAGAGCGCCAAATATTGGCATTAACTTCATGGAATTTACATCTTGTGGATCTGGTGCTCTAGGTCCACTAGGATTTCTAGTGTGTTGTACCATTTTTACAGGATCTTTGCTGTCACTTATAGATGGATCTTCTTCTACGTCTACCTCATCGTGTGGTTGTGGTTCAATATCAGAGTATAAATCTGGTAATCTCGGTATGTCTAAAAAAATATTAAATAATGGAAATCATCAAAAAACAATGATATGCTCAATAGGTTTACAGTATAGCATAATAGTACAATAGTGAAATAGATAACACAATATAGTATAACCTTATAATGGAAACTAATTTATAAATACCTGAAATCCGGCCTTTGGCTACAAGTACTGCATTTACTTTAGGATTATCTCTTTCACCCTAGAACACAGGTTAAGACAATTATTTATTGAAATCATCATGTTTAAAAAAAAATTTGTATTATTACTAAATATTACAATATTCACATTACTACAAAATGTTTTATTGATTGTGTATAACCTGAAGCACAAGTTGTTTAAATATGCAAGTGTTGTACAAATATCAAATAAATACAATTATTTACAATGTCTGCGTCATTAGTTAGTTTTAATAATTGTATACTTAATATTTAATAGACAATCATTTATAGTTAATGGGATGGGGGTTTTATTCCATAAATTATTTAATATATTTAATACTTAAATTGAAATTTTTAATTTCCTGATGATAAATTACCAAAATATTATACTAGATGAAATTGTCACAGGCTTTAATTTATAATTGGGGCAAATTATTTTAAATTATTTAAAACATTAATCATTATTTATACTACAAATAAAACATGCATTTGTTAGCAAATAAACTTGTATAATATTATGTACTATATTTTTTTTTGCCTTAAAATAGTGCAATTTGATACTTTTATAATGTGTTTTCTGAACATTCTGATAAGTGGGTAAATAATATTTACCTGTTTTTTTAACAGTTATTTAGGTGCTTAAAAATATGTTGGCCAACCAACATTTTACCTAACCATAAAAACTTGAAAGCTTGCCTAGGCAATTAATGTTTTTAGTGTAACACTGTAATTCATCGAAACTATCAAATTACCTAATTCAAATGAAAAAAATAGAAATAGGTAGGCTACTAATTGAATTTGATACTATTAAGTATAGGCAAAAATAAAATAAAATTTTTCGAATCATTAGGGCATACTTTTATAAAATCCACTCGAACAAGATTTCCTTTGATTTCGGATATCTCTCCTCTCCAATATAACGTTGTACCATCTACCGTAAATTCAATGTACTCGTCGTGAGCGGAGCCAAATCCAACTTTGTCGTAGATGTCCAACAACGGTACTACAACATGTTGACCGTTCAAAACGACATCAAACACCTGAAAAAAAAAATTTTGATAAAGGATTTTGTTTTAATGTCTTGGTGGTGATCCCACGACGGTTATACCTTTAAGCCACTATTGGTAAAGTACACCTCGCTGAACTTGAGCACCATCACATAGTCGCCGTCCTGCATGACGGGTATGTCATAACCGAAAGTGGTTTGCGAATACCTTTCGGTCTGGTACAGGATCTGGTCGTGGGGCTTGACCCTCTGTATGGACAGCTTCTTGCCGTAGTCCGATTCTGTGCCGATCCGGTTGAAGTCCCTCTGGTACAATATTCCGTAGCTGTCGACGTGCGCGTCGCCACCGGCGTTGACAGCGAAAATCACGTCCTCCTTGTCCAGGCACCGGCACAACAGAGCGTTGGCGCACAGGAGCAGGACGAACAGTGGCCAGGCCATGTCGTAGCCGCCGGCCAACATCGGTTGGATGGCGATGCGATGGGACGCTACGTCGGTGGTCGGTCGGTCGGTCAGACGACGGCTGAACGGTCAGCGACGCGGGCCATACTACCTACTACCGGTGGTGTCGAGGGCGCCGGTTAGTCGCACGCTGTGGCAGCGGCTCGCACACACGACGTCATACGACTGACTTTCGCTGACGTGTTTTTCGTTTGAAATCCATTTTTGCCAACTAGTCCAATTTGAATCGCGCACGGTAATCTGCGTTGACGGCTGTTACGATCGTCGCCGGTACGACGTCATGAGTCATCGTTGCAATCCTAATTTAGTGGCATCGAATAATATCCCATGATAGTGCGACGGTCTATAATAATAATAATAATAATAATTATGATTATGATTTTTGTGGTATGCTGACAAATAGATCCCGCGTCATCGAGATCCCGGTAACCATTCTGATAAGAATTGATACCAGGTCCGAGTCATTCAGATCCCGAGACAAAATGGTACTGAGTCATTTAGATCCACCGACATTTATGGGCCCCGGTCTATTTGAGACAACTAGATCTATTCGTTATTATGGCGGCATTTTTAAAATCATGAAATCTACCTCGCCATCAATTAACTTACATTTTAACTAACAAATAATTTATATGATATAACATGGGTGAAAAAAATATAGTTTATTTGTACCCATATGGCTATATTATTTAGACGTTGTACTTATATTATTTTTTTGTATGTTCCTTTGTGGCTAAGTCCCATTTCCTATTTAAAATAGGTATTACCATTGATTAGAAATGGTTTTATAATCAATGGTATTCACAGATATATAAAGATAACATTGTATTACTCTAAGCCCTTTCTGGCGTTTATTGTAATAAAACAAAAACAACATAAATAACATAATTTTAATACCTAAACAAATATTATACAAATTATATAATTAATAATTATAGGTACAAGATAATATTACATAGTTTATCTATTACAAACTTCAAATTGTACCATTAAATATCATTTGTATATTACTCAATATAAGTAATATTAAAATGATTAGGACTAAATAATCACTTATATTGAAAAATTATTATACTTATAGTTTTTTTTATTTTTATTATTGACCTTGGAAAAGAGTTATTTTGTTATACCACATTCTTAATGATGGTTTTTCATTTATAGCTTTAAGACTATGGTGAATTTTAATTTTGATATAGGTTGTTGAAATAGATTTTATTAGAAGTGTAACGTGATCAGACAATGGACTAAATGATTCTTTTCTATGAATATTTAAAGAACTGAATATATTTGTATTATGTAAAAAATGAGAAAGAACTTTTGATTGCACAAATAATGCATTAACTGGTTTATTTTTATAATTGAAACTACGTAGGACTTTTTCGGTATGAAGACAAATAGTAATAACGTCATCACTCGGATAGAGCAGACCCCCTCTATTTCCACCTTTATTTTTTAAGCTAATAAATGTGTTTAAAAATGAATCCTTATCAGGAGAAAATAAACTTTTCAAACACGTTTCACACTTAAGTATCAACGTTAACTTACGAACAACAAACCCAGCTATATAAATAATTATTTCTTGAGAAAAAAGGTTAAAGGTGTAGGTATCTTGAGTTTCAATATAATCGTGATCATTATAAGTAGCAGTTTCTTGTACATTTTCTTCAAAATCAATTGAATCTAAGTTAATGTTGGAAGATGTTCTATTGATAACTCTGACTGGATCTGAACTTGAGTAGTG